TTGCTAAGGAATTACGTAAACAGAGTGAGTGCATGAGTAAGAGGCAGCGCAACCTGTTGCTAAGCTTTGCGTTTGTGCGGGTAAAAATAGCGGACATTCGTTGATGTCTGTTCGGAGAAAGATTTTTGGAAATGATGAGATAAGAGCAGCTGGTTCATCGATAATGTAGTTAAGTAATAGACATCGTTTCAGAAAGAGATGAAAACGAAATCAGTTCACACAATTTTAAACATCAGCTCTTTTAGCAAATGGTATATTACATTGCTTTTTACAATATCCTTGCTTGAGAAAATAATATATAATATATATATAAAATATATAATATATATATAAAATATATAATATATATATAAATATATATAACTGCAGACAGTACTGTTTTGGCCTTCTGGGCCTCATCAGTGCAATGCTGACGCTAAGATGGAGGTAAGGCAATATAACAACCCCAAGTGATCTCACATATGTGGGATCATCTAAGCCATGCCAGAGTGGTCAAACTAGAAAAACTAGTGAGCATGCACAATGCTAGCAGCAATGACTCATCCTAGTAGAGTGCTCAATTTGGACATGAAAGCAAAGCTTTGTATGCCAAAGAGCTATATCTAACTATATATATATATATATATATATTTATTACCTGTTTACCAGTAAAACAAATTATGATAGTTTTTTGACCAATCAGACTGCGCTTGTATCTCAGTTACCGTATGATGTAATCCATGCAAATGTTAACTAGAGGTGGTAGAGGAAGTAGACACTCACCAGTTTGACAGCGAACTCCATTGTATCCAGGCTGACAGTTACAAACATATCCATTAACCCGATCAACGCACGTCCCTCCGTTTAGACAGGGATTACTGGAACATTCGTTGATATCTGCAATAAAAGATAGCAGACTCTGGGATGGCCTTGACCGAGCTTTTGGTTGATACGTTGATAATCTTTCAGTCATTAGGTTTAAACAAAAAAAATAAAACATCCAAATATTCAATAGATTTGTGCCGGGGTGATATTTTGAGTTAAATCCTTATTCCTTCAGCTTCAATTCGTTCTGCGACATTGCTAAGGAATTACGTAAACAGAGTGAGTGCATGAATAAGAGGCAGCGCAACCCGTTGCTAAGCTTTGCGTTTGTACGGGTAAAAATGGCGGACATTCGTTGATGTCTGTTCGGAGAAAGATTTTCGGAAATGGCGAGATAAGAGCAGCTGGTTCATCGATAATGTAGTTAAGTAATAGACAGCGTTTCAGATAGAGATGAAAAGGAAATCAGTTCACGCAATTTATTTCAAATTGCACGAGAAAAATTATGTGATTACGTATTAATAACATACATGAAAAAATACGAGTTAGCCTATCATTATTATGCAGAAGCAAAGCGCGCATCAAGTGCAAAAATAATTTATTCAAACCCTGCAAGTGACATCGTGCGTTCGGTTAAAACAACCGCGTAAGATCAAAAAATATATATATATATATATATGTGTCTATATATATATATATATATATATATATATATATATATATATATATATAAATATATTTATATGAATCTTGCCGTAATTACAGCCCTTTATCATTCAGGTTCTTTTCATAACCATTTGTTAGGTTTTTAGAACATAATAAAAATGTTTATAACGCAGCCAAGGTCTGTCCGTATTGGGAAAAACTGTGCTCGAGGTCTTGGATACACAAGACAGAGGGCATAGGCGGTGCTTTTTTACAGTGTTTAGGTTGTTAGAGCTGTCTTTTAGCTGCTGTATTGTTGTTGCGGTGACGAAAGAAAACCCACTTAACACGCCGGCCATTGTTTCGCTCGCAAATTTTCAGGGTACCCAAATGTTGCGACATCCAAGGCTCGCATTTGATTGGCTATCTGTGAGTTTATTTGATTATCGACCAATCAGAATTTCTGGTTTGTTACTTCTTTGCACTGAATTAACCCTCTTCTGCATTGAATTACTTGAAAACTGCATTTATCTTAACCAATAAGAACTGGGTAACTTTTTCATGTATATTATCAGAAAAAATATATTTCATGGTCATAGTGTGAATGTTTTCGGACTCCTGTCAATATCTCATCCTACCTGTTTCACAGAGGAATCCACCATATCCAGGGCGACAATCACAGTGATACTGATTTTTAGTATAATTTGGAACGCAAGTTGCATTATTTTGACAAGGAAAGCTTGAGCAAGGTGTCTGTGGACAAAAGTTTTGCGATTAAAAAAAAAAATTATAAGTCGATTCATTTACTTTGTTCCTGAAAAACTGCTTCTCTTTGATAATGGAAACAGATCTCACTGAATAGTTTTGATAAGTACATTTCGTTGATAAAAAATGGACAAGACAAACTTGCATAGCCACAATCCTCTTAGATTGTTGTCTTATCAAAGCAAATTACGTAATGAGCAAACTTTCCGCAGGGTAATCATACCAAAAGTAATTATTTTTTTTTCCTTTAACGAGGGGCCTATGCTTAAATTTAACTCAAATCTTCATAAATCCGCTCTTGCGATGTATGTAACTGTTATTTTATAACAATCTGACTTATCTGAGCTGTACTGTTTTTTGTAGACTTTTGCATTTTTGGATAATAACATATATTAATGTTTCATACCCTCAAAGTAAACAGGACATTCTCCCAGTTGGAGATTCTGAACTCAGTGATTTTTTTCCGACAATGTCAGAATCATAGTGAATTTGTGTGAATATACCTTGATGTTGTAATGATGATATTCCTGTGAAATAACTAATTGTCCTGGACTTGCCGAGTACTTATCTTCGTTCAACAACTCACATCGAAATTTTTTGTCTGTACGTGGAGATGAGGCGACGTTGAAGGAAAGACATTGTGCATTGTTAACACAGCTCAGAGCACACTCTCTGTAGTTGTTGACAACAGTCGATGAACCAATTGACACTTGAAGACGATGGAACTTGTCAACCGCAAGGTTTCCGTACGATATCCTATTTCCCTGCAACAGGACTCCTACCTGTAAACCAGCTCTGCCGTCTAGATGAAGTTGGCTTTGAACCAACTCAAGAGCAAATGAGTACAATACAAAAAGAATAGCAGGAAAATGCCCTTGCCATTTCATGTACGTAGCAGAGCGTTTTGCCATTCCAATGGTTCGAAGTATTACCATGTTTGTGTGTATAATATTTACAGAACTTAGTAACGACCAACTAATTCACAACACAGATCATCTGTCCCTCTCATGCTAAGTATTCTGAGCGGCCTAATCACTATGTTTTAAGCCAATTAGCAGCAGTACCAAAACAAACCCTGTCAGTGCAATTGGCACAAATTCAGTTCTTTGGTTTTGCTTGTTTGTTTGTTTTTGTCATTTTCTTTTGGGTTTTATACGTCAAAAGCGACTCGATGAATCAGCTATCGAGGTAATATCGGAAATAAAGCTTATCGTTATTTCAAGGCAAGTATCAAAGTCAAGTGTGGGCTATCATATTATTTCGAGTGCAGTTTAGGAAAAATCAGCAAAATTTATTTCTACATAGGTTGCCCAAATTGTATTTTGATGTAAAATGTGAAAATTCGCCTTGAAGTTGGGAAAATTACAGAATAGTTTCCTTTGTTTGGGACAAAAAAAAAGAAAAGAAACATATATACAACAGAAAAGGAAAAATAAAATTATAGCTATACCCTTTTTAATAATATACATGAAAAAATTACTCATTTCTGATTAGTTAAGATAAATGCAGTTTTCAAGTAATTAAATGTAGAAGAGGGTTAATTCAGTGTAAAGAAAGTAATAAACCAGACATTCTGATTGGTCAATAATCAAAGAAATTCACAGATAGCCAACCAAATGCGAGCCTTGGATGTCGCAACATTTGGCTACAATGAAAATTTGCGAGCGAAACAATGGCCGGCTTGTTAAGTAGGTTTCCTTTCGCCACCGCAACAACAATACAGCAGCTTAAAAACAGCTCTAACAACGAAAACACTGTAAAAAGCACTATCTGTTTGGTTGTGGTGTTTAGAGAAGGGAATTGCGAAGGAAATGAAAATTACGAGCCGATCCAGCTCAACACTTTGCTCGAGCGATTCTACGCCGAAATTAAAAACAAACTTGGTAAATCTCGCAAACGTTATTCGCGCACAGACTGAACAATTCCTTGAACTGTTTAGCCGCACTTTGAACTTTTTTGCACCTTAAAGATGTGAAAATATCATTGTATTTTACTGTTTTGATCGTACGCGGTTGTTTTGACCGAATGCACAGGTTTGAATAAATTATTTTTGCACTTGATGCGCGCGCTCTGCTTCTGCATAATTATGATAAGCTATCACGTATTTTTTCATGTATATTATTACCACGCAATCATATTATTTTTCTCCTGCAGTTTGGATTACAACATAGCTAGAAAATTTGTCTAATCAAATTCAATTGCGTGAGTGTGCTTCATATTCCTATTAAGCACGCTCACGACGTCAGCAAACAAATCCGTCGAGACAAAAAATTTTCCATCGGGTTGAAAATGTTATAAAACAATTGGTTCATCATCAATTGGTTCATCGAGATATGAAGCACGCGGGAATTTTGGAGAGCACGAAAGATGCGTAAGAGTTGCTCGAGGCGTAGCCAATTGCTAAATAAATAAGCACTTACTATTTTTTCAACGCACGCATCTTTTCAAGTACTCTGTTGCGATTAGTCTGCCTTCATATACTGCTATCTCATATTTGTTTAAATCATTTTCACATCTTTTGGACAATTATACTACTTTTTCACACATTAGTTTTCTTTAGATTATATAATGTTCAATTTCCTCAGAGAAATCATAACATTCTCCCAGTCATCAGAATCTGAATTCAGTTGTTTTTTTTCAACAGAGTTGGCTTACTGTCACTTTGATGTCTGTAATGATGATATTCCTGTGAAGTGACCAGTCTCCCTGGACTTGCAGAGTATTTATCCTCGTTTAAGTGACCTTTAACTATGAGGAAAAGTGACTTTGACCTCAAGTTTTACACTATGTCTTACTCATTTTGTCTTTTAAATTTTATTTTTAAGGAAAGTCCAGGGTTTTAATGATGAAATTTTTTTTCCTGAGAAGCCCATTTTATACACTTTAAAATGAGATAATGTAGGTGTTATTTCTGTAAATATTTGTTGAGATTTGTATTAAAAACTGAATGTGGACAATTTTTGCGTTTTTTAACTGATGTTTTTGGGTTAACAACTCACATCGAGATTTCCCGTCTGAACGTGGAGATGAGGCGACTTTGAATGAAGAACATGGCGAATTTTCCACACAATTGAAAGCACCCTCTTTGTAGTTGCTCACGATACGCGTGATAAATTCGAACCAACTGATACTTGAAGGCAATGGAACTTGTCAACTACAAAGTTTCCGTACGATAACCTACTTCCCTGCACATGAACTCGTCTCTGTAAACCAGCTCTGTTAATATAAAGTTGGCTTTTCTCTGACTTGAGAGCAAATGAATACAACATTAAAAGACAAACAGGAAAAGTTCCTTGAAATTTCATATACATGATGGACTACTTTATGGTTGAAACATTTCAAAACACCATCACGTTTCTGTGCAAAATAAGTTTGAGGGCTTAGTCTGGACCTACTAAGTGCTTCATATCGCAGATCACCTGTCTGTCTCACGCTGAGCTTATTGAACGGTCTTGTTGTGTTCCCTATTTCGATGTTTTTAGTTCATTAACAACTAGAACAGAGTCTCCTTTCGCGTTGGCCTAATGAAAGACAAAATTAAGAGGTATTAAACCCCACTGGAGTGGACCCTTACTAACTTTCGATCAAAACTGTTACCGCTTTCACTGTGAACGTTTTTGTACACTTTCCGCCGATTTTATTGTTTTTAACTGTGTTGTAAAAGTTCAAACAATATACAACCCAAGGGAACTCTATGATTTATTGAAATTATTTCAGGAATTAAGTTTATCGTTCTTTCAAGGTTCGTATCATATATTTGTATAGTAGACCACGTGATTTTGAGTGCAATTTGTGTCTAGTCAACACGAGTGAATTTATCATGGTCTGTAAATTCGGAAAATTTTCTTGCGCTGATTTATCCCATATTGCTTGAGGTAAATCATGTGATTACTTGTTCATAACATACTTGCAATATTAGTCGAGCTTATTTCGGGCTTTTCCGTCGAAAGTTGCTTCGTTGCTCTCTGTCACGCATTGTTTTGCTTTCGTGACTTTTCCGTTAGTCAATTAAATCTCAATTTCAACTTTCTGCACTGTTTGGGATTAATTGACTAGTTCTCAGCCAATGACCATGCTGAAATTTCTGCATGCATATAATTAAATTAAGACGCTTTGAGGTGCTAACCTTCGTTATTATGAAAGTTAACTTTGAATTTCGAGAAAAATTACAGAATGGTTTGTTTTATTCAGGAAAAGAAAAAGAAGAAATGAGCCAAACTAAAAATTAGATAACAAAAAAAAAGCATCTATAGATTGAAGGGCTGATGAGAATTTGCAAAGGACAAATTCTTGGTGTTTAGGATGAAGATTTCAAAATGTTTGAGTCAAACACCTCTAATAAATGTGGCTGTACTCTGGGATCCTGTAAAAATGCTACAAAGGCAGCTAAATTACACATGCAGTAACAATGCACCGAATAAAGTATGAAAGATGTGTTAGTAATTAAACCGTTAGAACCAGCAAAAACAACAAAAACGCCATCAACTACTGTATTATACTCAGGCAAGAAGATAAATATATTTCAAGCCACTGCTGTGTTCAGGGGCAGTGCATATTTAGATGCTGTATACGTATACATGTCTGTTCAGATTTTTAGGATACGTGTATATACAGTACGAAATAGTGTTTTAAGCGTGTCCAGTTCATATCGACTCATTTAGTGTTTGATGCAATATATCTCGTGAGGGAATTATTCGAATTTCTACAAAGGCCACGAGATACCTTAGCAGACAATGTCAATTTCTCAAACGCTTACTCCTTGCATTGTGAATTTTTTATATATTTCATATACCACAGAAAAAGAATGTAAGTCCAAATAAAAGTCGAAAGTTTATGAAGCCGTTGTATGTGCGATTGATTTTCAATCGGTCTCTTGTCCCAGCCTGTGGTTTAAAAAGTTAATTGAAGATCCTCAAGGATACGTTAATTTATAACTTGGCGCTAGTCATAAAATGTCAAATACCCACGGAGAAGAAATTTCACGACCAAGAATAAAACACAAGCTACATTTAAGCGGTAAAAAAGCGAACATTTCAGAGAATACATCCCAGATCAGGGAGGAAAAAAAATGGGTCAGACACAACTGTTAACGACTAACCAATCACAAAGAAGGATCTTACTTCAATGAGTGGCAAATGTCTTAGCAGGCTTTCATTTATTCTATCTCCCCCTCTCCCCCATTGTAATGTTACCCGATGTTAAAGTGGCCACTTTTATTTTGCAATGTACTGTAGTTTGAGAGAAAAGGAAAACTTTCAACTGACTCCAAGGAGATGTTTTGAAAGGTTTCTGTTTTAGTATCGTGTAAAGAGGAGGATCACCGACTACCTACTAAGGGAAGGCCTGCCAACTTAAGAAGTGACAACGTCGCGAGGCATACCACAGTACTTAATCATCAATGTACTTCGCTGCGTTGCATGACTACCAACGCTTTCGCAATAACTACAAAAACAACCGACAGTATGAGGGCGGATCGCCTCTATCTGCAACTAAGTGACATCAAAATGGCAAGACAAACGCCAGCACTATACCACATTTGCACTTCACCATGATGTATAAGTATAAAATTTTACGAATTCTAACAGTTTTCAATCTGAGAGATTAGCCAAACTGCATCAAATTTTTTCCAACTATTCCACTTCACTGCACAAAGATGTAACACACGCTTTTTAGGTTGCCGCTTCCGCCGCACGAAATAAGGTCACCACCACTCCCTTGCAAACCGAATCCAACAACGGTTTCACAACTTTCGCATTGGTCTTCGTCGTTTCCAAGGATACCAATTCTAGCCCTTCTGAAATCACCATTACCGTTGAGTACATTGAAGCCTTCCTTGCCACAGTAGGGTTGCAAGTGGGCCAAGTTACCACTGATAGCTATCCACGATGCACGACCTACAGAGGTGGAGCGGAATTCTCCGTCAGCGATGAGTGAGTACAAAGAGTCAGCCTGTCTATCGATGACCAGAAATCTGTTATATCCGTTGATCTGCATACCAAGACAAATCTTGCTGAAAGGTGTTGCCCAATAAGTCTGTAACTTGGTTTCAATAGAGTCTAATCCACTCTCACCCCCACGCGGGTTGTATTCACTTTTATCGGTCCAGAAGGCCGAGTAGAAAGAAAAGGTGTTCTACGAGATGAAAAGAAATCAAAAAGAGACATTCAAAAGTGGTATAAATTTTTACAGCTTTGTTCTCCAGTTTAAAGCCTAGGATTTGATGGATATTAAACCGTTGTTTCTCATGATTTAACGTATTAGCTTTGTTATTCTAGTAGAGAATGATAAATCGATTGACATCAACCACAACTGACAGGTTTGGTACTTTGAACGAAAAAATAAAAATCAAGAGGTCTCCTGATAGTGTGAACCTTCTGCTTCGGCAGATGACACCAGCTTCGGCCTTGATAACTCTTGCTATCGTGCGCAAACCGAATCCAATAACTGTTAGATATTCAGATTGACATAATCAGTGTTACTGTACCGTTTCGCCTATAATCTTCATGACTGTCGTCCAACCGCCACCTCCACAACTGTTTGGATCATCGATGAGACAGTAAACCGTAGTGGGCTTCCCGTTGATAATTAGAGTGTACTGATTACTGGTTGCATTTGACCTTTAGAATCAAGAAACGTGAGACATGATAATAAAGTTTATTTTTAAGCTTCATACATTATTTGCCTCCTTATTTTTTGGGTACAGGTTTTTCCCCTTCTTCTTGGTGGAAAAGCATACACATATTGTGTCCCATGCAAATTTTGTGGGAGTTTTGTGTCGCAAATTGCCGTTTTGTATTTCTTTTTTCGAGAACATATTGTTGCGTTTCGAGATGACGGAAATCTCTGCTGGGAACTAAATTTTGAGACTTTGAATTCTTTAGCAGGAGAAAAAATTAACGTGAAAGGACCTGAGCTGAAAATTGCCAAAGTTTTTCAATTGGTTAAGTCGTATAGAAGGAACTTCAAATGGGGTGTTAAATAAATGAATATTTCAAGCGAATCAAAACACTTTGAATACAAATTGTAATTTGATTCGAACGTAGACTTTTTCATTTGATTGAACTTTGTAAATTATTGCAGAGTTTATTTTGCATTAATTATTGCAGATTTATCTTAGGGTGGATCAAGGAGTTTTTGAAAAATCTGCCAAAAAGAAAAAAAAATTGGCGAGAAAGCTTGCGACCACGAAGGAGAGTGCTCACTCAGAGTTCCTAACTCGGGAAAATACCAGTTTTACTCACCCGTAAACATCGTACACGTCTTTGCATGAAGAAAAAACTGAAAGGAAAAATAAAAGCATCGCAAAATATCCTCGAAGAACTATTGGCGGGGTTGTAGATTGCTTACATAGTCTCGTTGTAAGAATGTAATAAACTTGGAGCCTTCTTCAGGCCATCGAGAAGCCCTAATTACCGTGAGAACTTAATGAAGCGATCACCCACGGAACCCTTTCAAAAGTCTGCATAATGCATAATTAACAAATTGCACAATACTAGTTGTTAGTTGTTAAATTTCAAAATTGAAGAGCGTGAAAAATCGTCAGATCGGCGACCTTAATTCCTAATCAGTAACCACCTTTTCGGGCAGATTTGCGATAGAAATTAATTACTGGAACACACGTTCTTAAAATGCAAATTTTATCTTTTTTATCTTCAGTCGACATAATTCGAATTTCAGTCATTAATTAATGTCGGCTTGAAAAAGTCTTCAGGTGACAAAGTTCTTTAATTTTTCGGTTAGTTTACGCCTAACAAAGGCGCTAGCTAAAGAAAATTTTCACTCTATATTAGATATAGAAGAGAATCATGTACAATTCAACTCCAGCTTTCAAACAAATCACTCAGCGCCATAAATCACATGTAACTCCGCTTCAATAAGAGAAATTCCCCATGAAACTTCATAGATTTTTTTAACAATTTTCAAAATTAGATATTCATACTTTGAAGATGCACAGTTCACGTACCGGCTGTGTGACATAATTTTCCTTTGTATCCAGGAACACAATCACAGTAAAAGTCGTTCTGACTGTAATCGGGAACGCAAGTTCCACTGTTTTGACACGGAAAGCTTGAACATGGTGTCTATGGACAAAATAAAACTTCGATCACTCTGCAATTATTCCTGCATTTCCTGATTACGTAATCATCAAGTCAAATTTTTGTTCTGTTTATGTCCCACAAAAAAAAAAGAAAATTAACAAAGATAAAGGTGTTTTTTTATACCCCTTAGGTCAACTTGGTGGGTAACATAAAAATTAAACTAAAGGAGACTAGAAGAAGGTTGAAAAAAATAAACAACTATTTTGATTGAAGGAAGCAAGTGTTTGGAATTTAAAATTCCCTTTTGAATACCTTGATGCTGTAATGATGAAATGCTTGTGATCTGACCAGCTGGCCTGGATTTGCAGAGTATTTATCCTCGTTCAACAACTCACATCGTAGTTTTCCGTCTAAAGTAACAGCCGAGCCGGTGTTGAACGACAAACATGGTGGACTGTTGACACAGCTCAGAGTACACTCTCTGTAGTTGCTAACAAAAATTGATGAGGCAACTGATACTTGAAGACAATGAAACTTCTCAACGAAAAAGTTGCCGAATGATATTTTAGTTGTAGATCCGTTTACATTCGTCACTCGCTTCAGACCACTACTGCCGTCAAATTGAAGCTTGCCTTTGATACTCGATAGGAAAAACATGAAGAAGAGAGAGAAATAGAAAGTGCCCATTGTTCGCAGTAACATAGCGCTTATGGTTCATTACCGAACAGTTTAGCAGATTTTTATAAAACATTAACAAAATTTAAACAATTTACATCTTAAATTTTGGAGTAAAAAATATTGGCCTCCAACTGTATAGAACACCTGTTTCCGTAATTGCAATCAGAGAGAGCTTTGTGCAAAAATTAATCTGCAATTTGAAACCAATCAATGCTCCATTGGAAGTATTTATTTAGAACATATTAATTAATCATTCTTTGACTCAACTGAAGAAAAATTACTGGTGAAGATTTACGTGGACAACTACGCTTCTTGACATGGGTCATTAGGGAAATCACGAAAGTTACTTGCGGCTGGAAGTTACTCTAATTTGATGGATGAAACCAATCCATCATAATAATTAATTGGGAAGCTAGTTATTTTGCTATATTTTTAGTTATGTTTTCGGTTTCAGTTATTGTGATAATACGAAATCCGATGGTTATGTAAGTTTTGTTTCCTAGAGACAGTCCACCCAAAATCAACTGCAGGCGTTCGCGTTTGGTCCGTTTTGAGGAATAGGACCTGTATTCATGCAAATGCCTCATCACGGCTTAAGATTACTGAGCACCATAAAAGTGATAATAATGCTGTCAAACGAAAATATTTACACATTTTTAGTTCCGCTAAATATGTGAAGGAAGTTAAAGGCTAAAGTTGTCAAAGAGTTAAATATCACTGAACCAGGATATATCCCATAGCCTTTTTGTCGTTGTTCCCACAAAAAACACCGTCTATTTGTCCAGCTGTACCAAACCCAATTCTGGTATCACATGTATCACAGCGGTCTTCATTGTTACCAAGTATACCGATTCTAGCTTTTCTATAATAAGCAAGATCGCTGACCACATTAAAGCCTTCTCTTTGACATAAGTTTTGTAAGGAGACTCCTGAACCGATCAGCGACGCCCACGTGTTACGACCTAACGTGGTGGTGCGATGCTGTCCGTCGGCGATTAGTGAGTACAACGAGTCTGCTTGCTGGTTAAGGACAATGAATTGGGTTTGCTGGTTGATCTTCATACCGAGACATATCTTTCTGAAAGGTGTGCTCCAATAAGTGCGCAGCTTTGTTTCTTGTGAATCAAACCCAGTCTCCCCTCCTCTTGGTTTGTATTCATTTCGATCACTCCAGTATCCCGAGCTATAACTGAAGGTATTCTACCAAAGAAACAGATATGAGAGTAAATTATTTAATGTCGTTTGTAGTAGGCATTATATGGATTTTTACAAGCTGCTGAAGGCATCACTTCTCTGTATCTGACTATTATGTTCCCTAGTTTTTGTACATTTTCATACTCTACTGAGAAAGATTAGGAAACTAAAGAAAGAATAAAGCTTTTCATCCACTGGCAACAGTCTTTTTCAAGATTTTCTTGCTCTTTCGGACGATAAAAATACACAATCAAATGATGAATGATCCTACACCTTATCGCCATCGATTTTCATGACCGTTGTCCATCCACCGTCTCCGCATCCAAAATTTCCCATGTGACAATAAACTGATGCGGGCCGTCCATCAATTTTAAGCTTCATCAGCTGGCTAATGGTATTTGACCTATGATAATCATACAATTTGAGAAATTTATGTTTTATTGCTTTCAAAGACTCAGTTTTAGACTCTGAAATATTCCTTTCCCTTTTACCAACTACGAGATCTCATTGTGGAGAGTAATGCTGGTGCGTGCACGGGTGGGGATAATTTTGGAAAAAACAATCGTGTTTTCAAACCCTCCTTTTCCCTGTTTAGTTGAAAAGGTTCAAGGAGCTATGGAGAAGTTTATTTTCTTTGGTTTGGTGATGGTGAGTTTTATGCATGTGTCAGAAAAATGTCTTCTGTAGGAAGACATCCTCTGATTCTTGAAAAATTCCTGATCCCAGGACAAATGATTCTCGTCCTCAATGGAGTATTCAGATTTTCGTTCCAAGTAAAAATTCTTTGCTTACCATATTTAGCTACTTAGTATGGTTTTACTGGTTTGAATTGGTTCTGTCTTTTTTTCAGACCAAGGTACCTATAAGCCAGACACCAGACGTCGGCACAACTCACCTGTTCAAATTGTACGCTTCTTTGCATGACGTTAGCGCTGAAAGGGAAAAAAGACATAAGCACTAAACGATAAAAATAAAAGATTAAAAAAATTTTGTAGAAATACAAGCTAATGACCAAGCCTACAGGCTTGAACAAGGGGACGTAGTTAAAACTTAATCTCTTAAATGCGCCTGTCTTAATCAGATCACTCCACCATCCACATGACTGGATACATAACTCAAACAATAAAACAGCTCTAGATGTTTTATACCCCATTTACAAATAAAGAAGTGAAAAGTAGAAATGTTTACACTGCTTTCTTACTTGTTTGACAAAGATTCCCAAAGTCTTCAGGATGACAATCACAATGGAATTGGTCTTCAGAATAATCTGGAACGCAAGTTCCATTGTTTTGACAAGGAAAGCTTGAGCATGGTGTCTGTAGACGAGATAAAATGCTGCAGTAATTCGAATTAATCATTATTTTCTGCTCCAGAGCGGCTTATGTCAGTCAGTGAATACGAGCAGAAATGAAGGGGCACGGCAATCAGCGATTATTCGCACGAATGCAAGTTTAAGGAACGAGAGCCTAGTACAGTACTTTTCTCTCTAGCAAATGAGGTTACACGTATGCTTCCACTTTTTGGGCCATAAACTGCTCTGGTGGGGATAAGGAAAGAACCCCTAAGCATTGTCCATGTGATTTAATTGCACCACAAACTGCTAAATATTTTTAGATCCGTCCATGATCTCTAAAGAGAGATCTAAAAACCACTTTAAAAGGATTGTTATGGAAGTAAAGACCTCTATTTTACAGAGCTCTCATCTGGTGCACCACCGCGTCTGATATACAAATGGATTATATCAATGTTCTTCTTTACGTACCTTGATTTCGTAATGATGATATTCCTGCGAACTAACCAGCTGGTCTGGACTTGCCGAGTATTTATCTTTGTTTAACAACTCACAACGCAATTTTCCGTCTGATCGTGCAGAAGAGGCGACGTTGAATGATGAACATGGCGGATTGTTGACACAGCTCAGAGCACACTCTTTGAAGTCTCTCACAAATCTGGATGAACCAACTGATACTTGAAGACGATGGAATTTGTTAACCGCAAAGTTTCCGTATGACACTCGACTTTCAGCACCATGTGTCTGAATCTCTCGCCTCAAACCTCTGTTGCCATCAAGTTGAAAGCTTTCGACCTTCTTCAGAGAAATGAAAAGTAGGAGAGAAGCGTAAAAAACATCCACTGTTCGATGTGACATTGACATCATCATATGACAAGTGTGGATTTTGGAAACATTTCCTTCGCACGTTTTAACACCTTTTTTACAACGGAAGATGTTATAGTAGATATCTGCAGTCGTGTCTATGATTTAAACAGCTTTATTTTTTCTTCAACGTTACACTATGTGCAGCTCTTATTAAAATTATGGCAAAATCTCTTGAAAACACAATTTTATATACTATATTATTTATTACGCACACGAAGCTGACAAATATACATTGACAGAAAGTAATTTACACATATTGTTCAAAAAACGCTTAAACAAAACGAGGCATACATTATTGGGTCTGTTTTTTATATATTCATAAAGTCTGTTTTTCATTTAAGCTGAGCACAACTTGACTCTGTGTCAAAAGCTAAAAGTCAAACCTATTCTGATTAATTATTGATTTGTGCATTTTTAAATCTTTCATGAGTAGCAGTTTTTCTAATATTTTTTCTAACGGTTCACTATTTTAAAGTATCTGCAATCTTCGCCGAAAAAGAGAGAAAAATTCTGTTTTCCTCAATTAACCGTGAATGATTTTTATTGCTATTAAAATTTTTATCATTACTATTATTATCATCATCATTGCTACTTTTACGCTTTTTTCATTAGTGGGTAAGAATTCGAATGGGAAGAACACGAAGAAAAGCTTAAAACTGGTACAATTTTACAGCAGTCGAAGTTTTCAGTCTTATTCTCTGCATTGTAGAAAATCGCCGCTTACATCATTGAGCAGTGAACAGATATTTTTTGCCAATAAATATTTATATTATAATATATACAATTGGAAACAAATATCATACAGTGAACTGTGTTCTTCTTGAAACAAGTTTTCGTCATTGCACTAAGATGTAACCCATGGTTTTGATACCATTGTTACCGCAAGATACATCGTTGTTGTGCTTCCTACCCGAGCCAGACCCAATTCTTGAATCGCAAGTTACTAAGTTGTTCTCATTGTTTCCCAATATACCAATTCTAACTTTGCTCATATCTGATCTATCGCTGACCATATTAAAACCCTCACTGTTGCAATTGTCTTGCAAGGAGGAGAACTTGTCAACTATGAAATTTCCATATGTCACTAGATCTCTATGATCAGATCCTTGCGAATGAATTTCTCGCCTCAAGGCACTGCTGCCGTTAAATTGAAGGTGGCTTTTTCTTGTCTTAAAAGAAAATATAAGAAAGAGATAGAAATAGAAGACGTTTTTTGTTCGATGCGTCATGATTACACATCACGCATTTATGCGACAATTTTGTGGATTTTTAGAACCGTCTGCAAGTGTCTGGGGGCTTTTTGCGAAAAAATAGGTGCTACGTTAAACATCTGCTGCTGCTGCTTTTTGTAATTAAACAGGTTCTCTTTTCTTTCAGTAAGTTATTTTTCTTACAGCTAATATCAAAACAATTGTAAGGCTCGCTCTGTGATTGGTCACAGCGATGAAAAGCATCATTTTATCCGCTGAATTTTTACAAAACATACTTAAGGCAAACGCAATATACACTCCGAGAAAAAGTAATGAAAACAGTACAAAGAAAACCTGAATTTCACAGCTATAGTAAGGGGATTACTCGACAAAAAACCGTTATCTTGCAGTTTAATCCTGATCGCCATGATGGATCATTTCTCTTAGATTTATGGGCTGAAACCAATGCTCTTTCAATAACCTCTGTACGTATTTACTTCTCCCCTCTGCATGTAGAAGCAGTGAAGAAGAACCACGCTTGTTTATTTCGCGAGATGTACATTTTTGATCACGGTTATGCGCAATTTCGGCACATATTTTCTTTCCTTCAATTAGTACTGGATGAACATTTTTCGAAGAAGATAAAGAAAAAATTGAAAAGTGTTAGGAGATTTGATAGACGTCTGTGACCTGTAGACATGTTCCATAGGATACCACGCGAAAGCGTTACTTGATAGGAAACACTCAACCTCGTTTTCAGGAAGCGGCGAGAAGAGATAGCCTGGTTAACTCTCTGGTAGGCTCCTCCTTCTTTTCTGTAAGAAACCTACTGCCTTACTCCCCCCCCCCCCCACCAAAAAGAGGACTTTGATTCCGGTCTTCATTTCCGGGATGTAACGCAGTGCGTCAACCCTTCGTCAGAGCAATTGGTGAATACTCAGGTTAATATCATCATTCACCAGGAATGGGCAGCGTTTCAATGTAGAATTTATTTGCCTCAAAAAGCCTTCATGATTACGAAGTTGGCTTAGTTAGGAATGTGGGGTAAGGCTGGGCACGAATCATAATATTTGACCGGCGCATAGGGCTTAGGTAGAAGCCGCTGATTAAATTGTATGCTCAAAAATCGCTCAAGACAAGTGATGAAGTCATTTTGTCATGTTTTTCCTGGAATTCAATGTCTCCTAATGGCTACTTAGATGTGTTAGTTTCTCCATTCGTGTCATTATGGAATGCTTTTTGTTTCGTGTTTGTGACTTTGTTGTGGTCAAATTTGTTTGGCCGTAAAAAGGAACGGATCTGGTCTAAAAGGGCGCGTTACTCGAACATACCTGCAGACATGGCCTCTAGGTCCCCTCGAGATGGAAGACGTCCATGTAAATCTCAGAGCTCTTTAGATGAAGGCGATGATGGTTTACCGAGAGATATAGCTAATCTCAGGGCGTATCACAAGCAAGCTTATGGCTACATTGCAAAGGCTCTGGAAATCGACGAAGAGGGAGGTCAGAATTACTTCCTTGAAACATATAATTTTAACCGACACACGTGTACATGTACATATTCATGGGAGGAATTGTGTTTTGAATTTATGACTAAGCAGTATCCTTGTCTGTATAAATCCGATTCAGATGTTCTTATTAAGAAAGAGCACAGCTTCGTTCTCGATTCCAGCGTGCATTGCAGTGAGACTTGGATAGTGTAGTCTTTCAGATGGTTCAAATTGTTATGATTATATTTTATTTTGATCATATTTACAAGTAAACGAAATAAAGTTAATACCAACTTGATTCTTATCACCCAAAGGGGGCCTGTCATCGAAAAGAAGAGCTGTAGAATTCTACAGAAAAGGGATTGATGAAATGGAGACAGGACTACAGATTAACTGTGATGGAGAAGGTATGTTGTACCAACTAATCAACCTTTCTAACATTATTGTACCCCAAATTTTTCCTGGGTGTAACTTCTCATCCTTCTTCAGCTGAGATCCAAACTGTTTCAAACCATTTTAATTTTATTCTCCACTTATGCCCACAGTTAGACAGTTTTTAATGCAAAATATACTTGATTCACAGGAGAGGAATGGGAAAAAGCTAGAAAGCTGCAAGATAAAATGAAATCAAATCTGGAAAATACAAGAGAAAGATTAGATGAATTAGGTAGGTTAACACAGTAAATTGCATTTGTTTATACTTAAATTGTATCAGTGACAAACTCAGCTACGCCCATCATCCATAATCTACATGTATTAATTGCTGAACAGATGGCAACTCAGAATCTATTTGTTGAATTGATCGTAGAGGTCTGGACATACCTTTTTGTAAAAGGGCAAATAGTGTTTCTTAATAGTTGGTGGCTTGAATTATAGATTGTAGTGTTTATTTAAGTCTAATGTTAGAAGTTGTGAGATCCCTGCCCTGGTAGTTACAATTTAATGAGCTGTTGAATGAAGCTTGTCATGATTTGCTTACCATGATTCAATTTGGTGATTGTTATGTAGAGATGGGAGTTGATAATCCTCAATGATGACAGTGTCCTTTTTATTTTTTTTTGTGGCCAGCTATTTAGAAGTTAGCCTCAAAGTCCATGTAAGACGTGTTTTTTTGGGATGTTGTTTGGTGTCTGCCATCCACAGTGTATAAGGCAATTACCATAATAGGATCATTATATGCAGGTTTAAATGAACAAATTTTTTGTTTTAGTGGCGTTACTATTGTCAGCATCAACTATTAACCAGGAAGAAGCTGCCAAGTTAATGGAAGAAGTGGCCCAAGAAGTCAAAGCTGAAGAAACAGCTCACCCTATAAACAATGTGAAGAAGCCACCTTCAACAAAAAGCACAATGGTACTTCCAAAAAAGTCAAATTCCTCATATAGTGCAACTGGCACTGCTACTAATTCAAAAGTTCCGAGTAGGATTGTAACGAAAAAAACTGCGTCAACTTCAGTGCCTGCCAGACCAACCATTGCAGGACGGAGCCCTCTTGCAAGCAGGAGGAATCCTACACAGGTACACAGTACTCCATCATCCATTTGTTATAAATTTTAACTTCATTTCAAAAATGTAAACAAAGAACAGTACTGGCATAGAATGGCAGAAAAATTAGTTAGTTTCATTTGATAATTATTTTTAATTTTGAAATTTGAAGCACACTCTGAGAATTAAAAGGATATGAAAGTTGCCATATATTGCTTCAGGGTAGCCAAACATTTGCAACACATTACACACAACAATGTTGCATTGAAATGTTGTGTGCATTTGCCCTGGCATTTACGTACACATCACAAAGGATAATAATCTGAGCTAGGTATTTGAGATACATTTATAAGTGATACATGACATTGTAATTTTCTTAGACAAGGCAGTCAAAGCCTTCAGTTGGGTCTGAGAATGACAGATCAAAGCAAATGGATGAAAAAAGGAGGAAAATATCACGTCTCAAGAATGTTGATTCCAAGTTAGCTGATCATATATTGGATGAAATTATTGAAAGGTACCAAGTGAATGCTTCACAGCTGTATTGCAACCTGTGTGAATAGCATTAAAGTCTCAATCATTAAGTGGTGAAAAAGTCAACTTGTTTCTCTTGTGTTTGGGTCAACAATATGGAATGGTTCTTTTCTATTCATTCAAATGTATTTTTCTTCTCTTTTTTATCCTAGTGGCCCCCCAGTGCACTTTGATGATATAGGTAAGTTCTAAATGTGTTCCATTATTTTACAGCAACCTTTTATTTTTTAATGTTTGTCATCACTTTTTGGAAGCAGGAAACAAACACTTGCATTTCAGTATATGAAAATTGTGCTATCTCCTGCTTGCCAAAGGGTTTTGTAGACTTGCCTGGGACTCAAACTGAGTACGAAGTACCAATATACAAATGTTAGAGGACTGGGTTTAAACTGGGATCACCCATGATTGCAAGAAAGTTGGAAGATGGCATACAAGACTGGATTTAGTTTTTGGTTTGATTGCCCATTCATCCATGATTGCTCTTCTTTGCTTTTTTTTATTTATCATTTACAGCATGATATTTGCATTGAATTTCATAAAATTGTCAATTGTCAAATCTTTTATTTCATCTTTTCAGCTGGTGCAGAAAGTGCTAAGAAACTCCTTCAAGAAATAATTATCCTTCCATATTTAAGGCCTGAGGTATTTTATCATCTACATTATTAATTTCTTTAAAAGTGGAGCACATAAGATATGTGTAGGTTGTGATGTAAATATGTTTGACAGAAAATTAATTCCTCAAACTATGAAATAGCATTATATTTACAGTACGTTCAATCCTCTACAGCTTTTCACTGGTTTAAGAGCCCCAGCTCGTGGACTGTTGTTATTTGGGCCACCAGGCAATGGAAAAACTATGTTGGTAAGCTTATATGATATCCTTTTTCAACAAACATGACTTTAAATGTTTTAATGCTTTCATTCTGAAAATGAATGTGATTGTGTCAATGAAGAACAACTCTCTTGCCACCCATTCTGCATCATTTCCTATAGTTTGTGTTTTTGTTTGTTTTCTTTTCCCTCATGAATCGGCACCCAGTATGATTTTATCTACAAGATCTTATGGCTGTCTTTTGGTTAAAACCTTCTACATACATTTCATCATCAACAGTCTGTAAAGGACGTACCTCACTTGTGATGAAAACATTTGTCAGTTTGTCAGCTTTTTTGTTTGTTTGTTTGTTTTCTTTTGCTCAGGCAAAAGCTGTGGCCAGTGAATCAAAAGCAACATTCTTTAATATAAGTGCTGCCACTCTCACATCCAAATGGGTAAGAAAAAGTTCATATCAGTTCTAATTTTTCTACTAAATATTTTTGAGATGATTTTGGATGACAGCTTCAGATCATCTGTACTCCTTTAAAATAAGGTAACTGAGGAGTCTTATAATGAATTACTGGGTTAATAAATTCTTACTTTGCAAAGAATGATTTTTATTATGCTTGTGTGGTGTCTAGTTTCTTAACTATTTACACCCTATGATAAGGATGTATTTTCTCCTTACTGTTCTCTTAGGGCTAAAAATTAACTCCAGTGCTTGGTGGCCAGTCGGGCCAGTTTCCTTGAATTTTTAGTGGCCCAAAATGAAGTAGCCATCCATTTTCTCTAGTTTAAAATGAAAAACTTGAATAAATGCCCCATGGCTTTTAACGAAGCATTAATGAAAATGAAATAACACAAAAGTCCAGAGTCATGTCGCAATCACAAAATCAAAATGGTGTCTATATGTTGTGATTGCTTGTGAAATCACTGTTAAAACAGCTCAGAATTTCCACTTCAGAACTAAAAATTTGCTAAAATGGATGATCTTAGAGTCCAGGCAAAGAAACAAAGAGAATAGTAGTCCAGTTAAATTACATATTGAGCTTTATTTTTAACTTTGTACTTCACATAATTTACATTGCAACTTTTTGAAATTCTGTAGCATTGTCGCACATCAGGCATTCAAACCTTAACTTTTGGTGGCCCTGGTTAGTTTTAACACACCACTTGTGATTGTGCAACCACCAATTTTTAGCCCTGTTCTCTATGCATTTCCTAAGGCCCTGACAACAAAAATTTGTTTAACAATCAAGAGCTTGTTTAGTTGATAATCATATCCTTTACTCTCAGGACCTTTATGTGTTATTTAGGGGTGATATTGTAAGGAGAAATTAGATGTTTATCACTCTTAGAGATCAAAAGGTTGACCTTATAACTTTTTATCTATATTTGACAGGTTGGTGAGGGTGAAAAACTCGTGCGAACTCTGTTTACTGTTGCTAGAGAACTGCAGCCTAGTATAATATTTATTGGTAGGTGCACCTAATGATTTGGCCTGAGTGTTAATTTGTGCGGCATGATATGGGTATTAAATGGCTCACAATGGTTACAATTTCAGATGAAGTGGATTCTCTTCTATGTGAGAGAAAGGAGGGGGAGCAAGAGCACAGCAGAAGAATCAAAACAGAGTTCCTAGTTTCTTTTGATGGAGTAAGTAATTAAAATAAAATAACTGGTGTTTGCACTTTTCATGAAGAGTGGCATTTTTAACCTATGAGCACAAATGTACAGTATGTATGTCCTGTGTATTGATAAAGAAAGGTTTTCAGCGATCTGTTTCATCTTTCTTTCCCTTTTTTTTTGTATACCTATTTTTCTCTGATTTTCATGGATTTTATTGAAAAGAGAAATACTTGATGGCCTCTGATTATTTTACTGTTGGATTGTTTGTGTTGTAAATTCATGCTGACTTCCCACAGGTCATTGCTGATCCAAATGAGCGAATATTAGTGATGGGAGCCACCAACAGACCAAATGAACTTGATGATGCAGCTCTCAGGTGCTGCACCAGTTGAAGATTTTTACTAAACTGACTTGTCATAATATGTACTTATATTTATACTAATAATGTGGTTCAGTGGATTTAACATGCAAGAAAAAACATTTGAAATACTATGTAAAAAAATCAGTGGTTTATTTACTGGGAATCTACATTAGAGAGTGCACAGCCTTCTGTTTTTGTTGTTGTTGCTGTTTTTTTTTATTTTTATATTGATGATGTGTTTGAGCACACTGTAGGTCTATGTTATATTTCTTTAGCAATTTTTACCGGTTTTTTTTTTTCTGCATGGCCCAGCCACTTACCTCAACAAGGGTTCACCGTTTTTGATTGGATGTACTTTTTTTATTACCTGTTGTTTGTAAATTATTTAACCTACAGTGTGATCAACTCGTTCTTGATTTTTCGTTTTTGGTATCATTTGGTCTGGGATTTTTCCCTGCAAAAGCTAAACAGAACTTTAAAAAAAGACCTTTTTTTTGTTGATGTTGTTATTGTAGTTGTTGGTTGAATATGTCTTTCTATAGAAAATTTTAGATTTGAATTTCAAATTTAGGTTACATTTTCGCAATGTGGTATCCTTTTTTGCCTTCTTATTCCTTTGTCATTCAGAAATATTGTAAATTATTTTCGGCAGGCGGATGGTAAAACGTGTGTATGTACCCCTACCGGACAAAGAGGTATGTGAAGGATAACTGCAATTCATTGTACAGTAGTACTGAAAGTGTATATTAACTTTACTCTTAGAGGCAGTTACTGATTGAACTAACATTGCTCAATCTCTTTGTGTTTAATTTTTTAGACTAGAAAAGTCCTCCTATCTAAACTTCTCGTCAAGAATCACAACCCACTAAGCTCATCGGAGATGGAGTCTCTCGCCAGGTAATAATGGCCCGCAAAATGAATAATATTTGCAACACGGGTAGATAAGTCCTGACAAGTTTGCTCTACTTCAGTGGGTGTTGCTTTGTATTGGGCTTGATACATCTCAGTGCCAGTCCATCGAAGAGTACAGCGAGCTGTTTTCCCACTATGATTCAGTCCCCTCCCCGTCGTTAAAACATTCCTTACCCTTGTTTGTGGACCGCTGACGCATTGTCTGTCTGGTTTTGTCTTTCAGACAAACTGAAGGGTATTCTGGTAGCGACTTGACAGCCCTCGCCCGCGATGCAGCATTGGGACCCATCAGAGGTGAAAATGACTTTGTCGATATACAGTAGATTTCTTTTCATTTTACCATCCATATTCCACGGAATAACTGACTGATATTTGTTTCTCTTGGCTATCGTCAGACCTTCGTCCAGACCAAATACAGTCCGTAGATGCAACTAAGGTGGGATGTAATTATTTTATTATTTTGCTTTTACAGTTTGGCAACTTTAATCTTTTATCAAGACTGTAGTGCCTTTTCCTTAATTCCTAGCGCTTGAGTGGTTTTGTAATCGATGTTTGATTGTACCACTCTACCTCCTTCCAGGTTCGTGGCATTAGCTACAACGACTTCCAGAACTCTCTGAAAGTTATTCGACCCAGTCTTTCGCCTCATTCTCTGAGGCTGTTCGAGGACTGGAACAGATCCTTTGGTAGCAGTGCCCAAGGCTAAGGAACTGAAATGGCGCTCGATTCATGCCCTTTTCACACCCCTTATAGGAAATTGAAAATGGTTCGGAGGTAATACGATATTCTGGGCCTGGTTGTGCAAAAGGCGGTTGGCACAATTCCATAGGAATATTGAGAGTTAACTTGTTTTCTCTTTTATTAAAATGTTCATAATGTGCTTACGTTTTTGTGAGGTTTATCCCGTTGTGAAGCAAAACTGAATTTAATAGACAGATAACCAGGAAAACCTGAACTTACAAATGTGTAACTTATTGAAAGATTAGTGGGTTAGTGGTATCGTTATTGACTAACCTGGCCCGAATTTCTGTTGTTTATCTGATTTGGTTTTAATTTTCTATTTCTTTGAGAGACGTGATATTTGAAATACCATGTCCAATTTCTGTGATTTTTACCAGATTGTTTTAAAAATTGAAATAACTCGAAAGACCCAATTTATTTTTATGAAACGGAATCCATAGAAAAGATGAAAGAAAGAAACAAGAAGAAACAAAACTTCTAATCTGATTTGACAAGGTTTGGAGGGAGGAGCATAAGTGTGAAGACTACAAGAAGCAGTCATTCTGTGATTCCATTTTAAATTCATTCCGTTTTGAACAAAACTTAGCTTGTAACGCTTCACAAGAAAATGAATAGCTCTAGATCCTGTGTGATCCACGCAGACGTGTGTTATGTTTTCTGTAATTACAATTGCACCCTTGGAAGAAGTATTTGTCTGTTGGCTCGTCTGTTAACCCTGATAAGACTGATTAGCATCCAACTTCTTCAAACTGTATCGCCATAGAATGAAACTATAAGGTCATAATGAGAAAATTGATTATCGCTTACTAAATAATCCATTGATTGTTGAAGAAATTCTCCTATTCAGCACTATGGGAAATGTACAAAGAATGCTAAGGAGAATGTACTAGGTTAGGCTTAGGATTGTTAGGGTTGACCTGATTTTGTTCTTTATTCGGGTAACTTGAGCGAGACTGTATTCCAAAACAAGAGAAAATAAAAGAAAGAAAAAAATGAAAAGATGGCTGGGCTTCGATTCTGATCAAAATGTAGTGCGGACTTTCAAAATCCTCCCTCTCTTTAACACCATGCGTTGCTGTTGTTGTCTGTTTTTAGTTTGGGTCAGGAAATCGAGAGAAAAACGTACTAAGTCGTGCAATTTCGAAGACTGGTGCATGCACCCTGAGACGGAACATTTCTCAGAATAAAGATTTAAGCAAGAACAATGTCCCACAGGAGTGACAAGTAACTATCAAAAATCCCTGTGGCTTTACCCATTAGAAGTTCCGCTGTCTGCCACCGCTAGCTCGGCAAGCCATCTCTTCATTATTAGTTACGCATGACCAAACAGTAGTATTGCGTGACATGCGAAATTGGCTGCCGTGCTCGAGAGTTGCACCAGATCAAAACGTCTTTGAAAGTGACAATTATTAAGGAAGAAGGTAAGAGCAGATGTGAGAAATTTGTTATTATGCATATTATATCGCGATGTTTTGCTTCACTTTGAACCTAAACACCAGAGACGCTCGTTTGACTGATCGTTCGATGATTTCGTACATAGACATCCCAGACATCTCTGCTCAAAGGTTTAGTCTGGCTCGGAGACGCGATTTTATTTTGAGCATTAGGAATAAATCAGCTAGATTTTCAGGACAATATGGCAGGATAACGCAACAATTCGTCAGAGTAAATGCATTGTCTTTCCTAATATACGTATTAAAAATGATCGAGCTAGTTCATACGAATGATGTGGGTTTGTAGTTTCATAATTAAATTAAATTGCAAATGAACAGCTGTTCGCTTAAAAAAACTGGCACAATTCACTTCGATCGTTTCCTTTGAGAAAGATATTTCGATGGGAGGTTTTCCAACCGATGTGCACATGTTGAGGCAAGCAAAAGCGCAAGTCGTATGGCTTTAATAGAAATTGTGATTGTATTGCGGATATTACCTGGTAAATTGCGTACGAGATTTGTATGGTTGAGTTCTTATTTTGCCTAAAGATATCGAAATTTCTTGTGATTTCCAAAGATTTTGCCGTTGTTTAACTCGCTGATTGCATAAAAAAATTTGCATTTTATTGAGACGACTGGGGGCGTATCAACAATTCTCATTGGCTTATTTGCTCATTGGGGTATTTTAATGAGGCGAGTGCACAGACCCGTGTCGATGAGTTACTTATGTTTACAGCCAAATATTGCTACATTCAAAGTTCTTGCCATTTCCCATGCTAAAACGTCTGTTTTTTTTCCCTATTATATCGACAGTCAAGTGCTGGAAAATGGGAAATTTAAAATCCGCTTTCGTGCTCAGGGTTTTTTCACCATCAGTATTAGTTTTCAATAGATAGTTGGTTTTTATTTCCGATGTCCCCTTCTCTTTCCTCAGCTAGCGATCAATCGATCGATTGAAATTAAAAAGTTACCGATTTCGATCGCGAAGTTATAGAATACGAAGTATATTTGAAACAACGATCTCGGAAGGCACTTTTGTCTCATACAGCCACAGATTACGCAACGTAAATCTTGACATTTATTTTAGGAAAATTCCTGTTGTTTCATAATTATCACTTCAACTCGTCTATTGTGTGACATTGCGCAATCAGTCAGGTCACTTACTCTATACACCTAACATCAGTCAGCTCTCTATACATTTTTAAGGTGCTGACAATGAGACTGTTTACCTATCAATAGCGCATTTGGTTCGAGATCAATTTATTCTTATTTCACATCCTATATCAGGGCTGAGTTCGAGCACTAAAACATCACAGAATAGTCAAGCAATGTGGTAAATGGAATAGGGTGCTTAAGAAACTTTGGTCAAATGGCAATTTTTAAAAAATAACTTGTATTGCATCACCTGGATCTCCCGGCTCAAGCCCGACCCATCTTTTCTAAGACATCCAGAAAAGATTTTGAACTATGACCAAATTTTTGTCGCTGTTCGTTGGAATGTTGCAATTCCAAGGAAAGAGGGTAAAATGAAATAATTGAAAAAGACCCGACTAATTAATCCTTTATAATTGAATCGTCGACGAAGACGAAAAAAAAAATCAATATGCATGAATTTTTCCTTATCAGGTAATGGTTGATTTCAGATACATCTACAGAAATGATTCATATCAGTCGAATTACAACGCTTATTAATTTCTCTGCGTTTACGTGTGCTTTCAGCGCCAAGTTCTTGTGATAGTGATGTCATATCCATATTTACGTGTTGCCTTCGAGCGTTGCACCTTTGTTTAATAGTAGAATTTTTTTTCCATGTAGCAATACTGGTTTAATCATGCCCAACGAAAAGGATTTCGCTTCCCTGTTCCAGACTGTTGATGAACATCCTGAACCAATCAATGCAGAGGTAAAGGGTAACCTCCCCTCCTGGCTGAGGGGAACCTTACTCAGAAATGGACCAGGTAAATTCGAGTGCGGCGACACTTCGTTTAAGCACCTGTTTGATGCCCAAGCACTTCTCCACCGTTTCCACATAGAAGATGGACATGTGACCTACAGCAACAGGTTCATAAGAAGTGAAAGCTACGCCGATTCTCTAAAACGCGGGGACTCCATTCATATGCAGTTCGGCACTTTTATACCCCCAGACCCGTGCCAGAACATCTTCTCCCGTTTGTTCTCGTGGTTTTGGAAAGAGGAAATCGGCAGGGATAACACTCTTGTCAATGTGTTTCCTATCAAAGGCAAGACTTACGCAGCGACCGAGACAAATTTCATCTATGAGATCGACCCCAAAACCTTGGAAACTTTGAAGAGGGTCGACCTCCTAAAGGAGTTTCCAGGTAATGACATAAACCAAAAGCTATGTTCTATGAGTTTGGCTCCTTTGTTTCATACTCTTTCAAGATTAGGTCGACCTGACTAACTTTATTGTACAATGACAATGGTGATGGCGAAGGCGTCGGCAATGATTGAGGTTGGCCTGTCCTTTTACTGATTCATTACATGCTGGTCTTAAATTTAAAGTAGACTACGATTCAATCAATCGTTATCAATTAATTATTCTAAATGTTCAATTGGCTTTTCTTCTATCAATCAGCTGACGTAAAGATCAATTCTGCGACAGCCCATCCTCACGTAACCCCAGACAAATCAGTGATCAACATCTCTGCCACGTATGGTCGAACTTCCACCTACAACATTATTCAAATACCACCATCCTCTGAAAAACCAGACGAGCGTCCTTTGGAAGGAGGTAAGGTCCTTTGTTCCATCCCAGCCACAAACGGGCTCGGCTACATGCACAGTTTCTGCATCACAGAAAATTATTTCGTAATTACCGAACAGCCACTCGTTCTGGATTTATGGCGGGCTATAACCCACAGGTTTTCTGGATCTTGTCCTGCGGACTTTCTATGCTGGGATCCAGACAGACTCACCAAGTTTCACGTGGTCGACAGAGAAAGTGGAACGCGTGTTGGTGTCTTCACAGCGGATCCATTTTTGGTGTTTCACCACATCAACGCGTTCGAAAAAGACGGCAAGATTTTTTTGGACGGTTGTTGCTTTCACGACGACTCAATTATTCGTCAAGTGTATCTTATTAACCTGCGTTCCACCAATCAAGAAGAACAAAAGAAGTATGACGTCGCTGAGGTTCGCCGGTACGAGCTACCACTGAAAGAGCTTGGAAACGAGGAGGTAGAAAAACCTCTCCCCAAAGGAGCTGACGGACTGGACTACACTTTGCTGTATACTGGATTGGAACTACCGCAATTTAATTACGCAGAGAAAAACGGCAAGCCATACAAGATTGTCTATGGCTTGTTACCAAATCCAGATGATCCATTTGGTCAACTGGGGAAACTGAATGTTGAGACGAAGGAAATCCTTAAGTGGGAGAAGCCTGGGAGTCAACCTTCGGAGCCTGTGTTTGTTAAAGCTCCTGATGGGAAGAACGAAGATGACGGTGTGGTGCTGTCATGCGTGATAAACGTCTCTGACCAGACTACCTCTCTGCTGATGTTGGACGCGAAAGATTTTAAAGAGCTGGGTCGTGCTGTGGCCAAAGTGGTGTCTCCAATGTCATTCCATGGAATTTTTCAGCATGAACAAGGACTATAACTACTGGACTGAATTTTTTCCCTCCAAGATGATTCTCTCTTGTTCTAGATGGAAAAAAAACTTTACACATAGATTTTTGAGAAATGACAGAGTTTAAATATGCAAAATCTGTCTGTGATATGATCTGAAGCGTAATACTGCAGATATATTTCTTGATTTTCTTATGGGGTGAGTTTATTAAACTAATCCCAGCTCCAACCATGAGTCCTGGAAGGTTCTCTCGATGGAAATTTAGATAGAAAATCAGGTATTGAAAGTCACACGTGCGATTTCTTTAATTAAATCAATCTCCAAGGGTTATTGTTAATTGTTGTCAAATAACGTGCAAAAAAACTATACAAGAACAAAGACAACAAGGACGTAACAAGAACAATATCAATGATCATTACCTTCCATAATTTTAGAGGTGGGTCGACCCACCAATAGCTAATGCTAATTTTGAAGGGCCGGGCTACTTTTATTAAAAGTTACTTGATTTTATTGGATCAAAAAAATACAACTGCGCGCGCCAGCAGAGAAGAAAACAAAACTCGATGGTGATGGGTGAGACTTAATCAGTTGAATAGTCATAATAATGTTTCTTTCTTTAACTCCCTCTTTCCTTTTTTT